GTGAGATGGCATATGCCTGTAATCCCATCACTCGAGAAGTGGAGGCAGAAAGATCAGAAGTTCAAGACAAGCTTGAGATACATGAAACCTTTCTCAGAACTAAACAGTAAATTACAAATAAACAGTGAATAGCTTGCTTGCATCTGTTGTTATATGTTGTAAAATTTGCAATATTCAATTCTCTGTGTGTCTGTCTGTCTCTTTCTCTCTCTCTTGAGACAGAGCCTTACACAGCCAAGATGTCCCTGAACCCCTGCTCCCCTGCCTCTACCTGCCAAATGCTAGGTATGCATCACACATGGCACAGTTGTGTTCTAATAACTCTAAAGAATGGCACCGAAGGGCTATGCTTTCAAGGATATGGCTTTAAATTGACAACTTCTTTTGGCTGTCTCAGAACGGTTAAAAAGATGTCATTGTAGTCCCCACCCCCACCCCCAGGAGCACAGAGCCACCAGTTCAGAACACAGGATCTTAAATAAGACTAGTCACAAGAGCACTACGCTACCATTAACTAAAAGTTGTAATTTCTATGTTCTTGCATTTAGTTCTGTTCTTTATAGTTATCAATATAGTAGCATTTTATTTATATTTTAATATATAAAGCTTGCCTGAAGATCAGAGAGTAAAACAGCCTCACTGGCCAGCCTTACAGACCAGGTAGTGGTTAACACATACCTTTAATCCCAGTAGCCACATTAGTTTGCTATAGAAACCAGGCAGTGCATGCCTTTAATCCCAGCACTAGAGAGAATTATAAAACGGGAGGAGACAGCTCAGTCTCAGTCTCTGAGATTCCTGGAGGCAGGATCGCCATTTCAGACTGAGGTAGAGATAAGAGCCAGTGCCGGGCTGTTTTGCTTTTTTGGGTCTCCAGGTTGACTTATTTATTAAAATACAAATGAAATGCCACTACATATTAATATATCTATAAAATATCATTCATGCCAAGTAAACTTACAAGAAACCCAGAATGGTTGCTGCTGCTGTGCTTGATATAAACATCCTTTAAAATTCTGACTAGCTGTTTCAGCTTTTAAATTTTGTATTTAATATTTTTAGACTAAAAATAGAGGTGAGAAGATCAATTATAATAATTAGAATGCACAAGATACATGTATGAAACTGTCAAAGCCCTGTCAACTAAAAAATGTTTTAAATTCTAGCTAGTTTTCTTACTTAGTAATCCATTACACCATTACTAACTAATATCTCAGGTGACGGGTTTGTATTCATGGAAGGTATAATTTTCTGTAAGTTGTTTTTTTAAATTTTTTTTAGTTTTTGGTTTTATAAGACAGGGTTTCTCTGTGTAGCCCTGGCTATTCTGGAACTCACTCTGTAGACCCAGCTGGCCTCAAACTCACAAAGATCCCCCTGCCTCTGCCTCCCTGAGTGCTGGGATTAAAGGCGTGTGCACCACAGAGACAGTAACAAAGGCTCTGGTTCTGGGTAGAAGGGAGATGTTGGGGAGAAACTACCATGCACCCCACTCCACAGCTGAGGGAAGGGGAAGCCAGAATGAACTGTGAATTTGGAATTTTGCTATTTCCCTGAATTAAATAAATACTTGTTATTTATTTGAGTTTTTTTTTTTAAAGACAAGATCTCAAGTATTCCAGGCTGGCCTCACTCCTCCTACATAGATGAGTATGACCTTAGGGCCTGCCCC